GCACTGTCCCTCAGCTCAGGGAGAGGACTCTACCACTTGAGCCACAGTGCCACTTCTGGTTTTCTGAGAGGTTTATTTGAGATAAGAGTCTCTGGAGGGACATTCCTGCCCAAGCTAGCCTGGAACTCTAGTCCTTAGATCCTCAGCCTCCTAAGTAAATAGGATTACAGGTGTGAGCCACTGGCGCCTGGCCGGCCAATTTAACTTTTAACTTTTGTGCTCTCTTTCTCTCTGTCTCTCTCTCTCTCTCTGTCTCTCTCTTTCCTTCCCTCTCTCTCCCCCCCCTCTCTCTCCCCCCCCCTCTCTCTCTCTCCCTCTCTCTCCCTATCCTCTCCCCCTCTCCTCTCCCCCTCTCCCCCTCTTCCCCTCTTCCTCCTCCCTCTCCTCTGTGTCATTGTCATTAGCAGCGTTGGTCAAGTCTTTTTCCTCCGGAAATATTTACAATGACTTTTTTGTTGCTGTTGGTCATGGGGCTTGTACTCTGGGCTTAGATGCTGTCCCTCAACTCTTCAGCTCAAGGCTGGTGCTCTACCACATGAGCCAGAATGCCACTTCTGGTTTTCTGAGTGGTTTATTGGAGATAAGAGTCTCATGGACTTTGCTGCCCAGGCTGGCTTTGAACCGTGATCCTCAGATCTCAACCTCCTGAGTAGCTAGGATTACAGGCATGAACCACCAGTGCCCTGCTACAATGGCTTTGTAATTTCTTTCTCTTTATCCTGTACCATACACTACTAAAAACGAACCAGAAGAACAGTGGTGGGCTTTTTTTTTTTTTTTTGTCATCCTGGGGCTTGAACTCAGGGCCTAGGCACTGTCCCTGAGCTTTTGCTCAAGGCTAGCACTCTACCACTTGTGAGCCACAGAACCATTTCCAGCTTTTTCTATGTATGTGGTACTGAGGAGTGGAATACCAGGCTTCATGCATGTGAGGCAAGCTTTTTCTTATTTATTTTTGGTCCAAGACTGGTGTCCAAATTTGGTGCAAATTCAGTGTCTTGACCTTTTCACTCATTGTTGGTACTCTACCACCTGAGCCAGGCTTCCAATCCCAAGAAAAGTATTTTTGTATAAAGCTATCTAAAGTGTTTTAAACTAAATGTCATTACAAAAGAGTCAATTTAAGTGCGTGGGATGCGGGTGTGCCTGTAATCCTATCTACCCGGAAGGCAGAGGAGGATCACAAATTCCAGGCTAGCCTGGGCTATATAGGAAAAAGAAAAAAGCTTATAAAGTAAAAAATGTTGGTCCTGGGCGCTGGTGGCTCACCCCTAGAATTCTAGCTACTCAGAAGGCTGAGATCTGAGGATCATGGTTCAAAGCCGTCCCAGGCAAGAAAGTTCCTGAGAATCTTATCTCCAGTAAACCACCAGAAAACCCGAAGTGATGCTGTGGCTCAAGTAGTGGTAGAGTGTTAGCCTTGAGCTGAAGAGCTGAGGGCCAATGCCCAGGCCTAGAGTTCAAGCCCCAAGACCAACAACAAAAAAAATTTCTTAAAGAAGTGTTGGGCTGGGAAGGTGGTTTAGTGGTAGAGTGCTTGCCTAGCATGAATGAAACTCTAGGTTTGATTCCTCAGTACCATATAAACAGAAAAAACCAGAAGTGACTCTCTGGTTCAAGTGGTAGAGTGCTAGCCTTGAGCAAAAAGAAGCTCAGGGAAGTTTCCAGTCCCTGAGTTCAGTCCCTAGGACTGGCAAAAAAAAAAGTGTCAACAGTAAGCTAACATTTGTTGGAAAAAGGGGACAAAAACTACCCCTCCCCATACTGGAGTTTGAATTAATTACATGTCTGTTTTGAGATGGAATTTTGCTACCTTTGCCCAGGCTTTCCTCAAACTTGTGATCTTCCTGTCTTTTGAGCAGCTATGATTTTACTATCTAATGTCCAGCCTAAACTGGTCTTAAAATGGTTCACAGCTTCCTAGTATAGAGACAAAATTCTCCAGTGAAGCTGGGTGTCAGTGATTAATTCCTGTAATCTGACTATTCAGGAAGCTGAAATCTGAAGAACATAATTTGAAACCAACATGGGCAGAAAAGTCCAAGAGACTCCAATTAACCAATCAAAAAATTGGCCTTGCTGGGTGCTTGTGGCTCATGCCTTATAATCCTAGCTACTTGCATGGGAGGCTGAGATTTGAGGATCACAGTTTGAAGCCAGCTTGGGCAAGAATGTCTTTGAGACTCCTCCTCCCTCCCACCCCTTGCAAGTTTTCTGGTGATTGATTGGAGCTCTTTTTCCAGGCTGGCCTTGAACTAAGATCTTAGCATCTTGAATAGCTAGGATTACAGTTGTGAAACAGTGGTGCGTGACTAGGCTAAGTTGTAATAACTGATTATAACCCTAAAAATAACTTCACAAAAGCTGGGCAGTGGCTACTAATCCCAGCTACACAGGAGTAGCTCGGCCAGCCTGGGCAGGAAAGTCCTTTGAGACTCTTATCTCTAATTAATTAGTCACCGGAAAACTGGAAATGGAGCTGTGGCTCAAAGTGGTAGAGCAAAAGAGCTCAGGGACAGTGACATGCTCTGAGTTCCCCAGGACCAACCCCCCCCCAAAAAAAAAAATCTTTACAATGATAATAAGTTTTATTATTTGTTTAATCTTAAAAGTAACTTGTAAACTACCACTTTTCTTTTAGGGCATTGTGCACTGGTCCGTAGATGACATTGTCAAAGGTATAAATAGCAACAATGTGGAGAGCCAGCTCCAAGCTACACAGGCCGCTCGGTAAGCCTTGTGCATCCAACGCTTGCAGCCTAAAAAGTGCCCTTTGTGGGTCATCTGTTAGGAAGGGGACTTGGTTCTGGGTAGAGTACAGGTGAAACCAGGCATCTGCCTATTTCTCTGTGGTTTTTTTTTTCCTAGGTGAAGCTTTGTAATTTCTACAATTGCCTAAAATTCTATCCCCAGTAACAATTGCTATTAGCCTTTTGGCATACCCTTTTTAGTAAAGAATTAATCTTTGGCCACAGTAGCATTTTAAGGCACTGGAAGTAGAAAAGGAAGAAATATTTGAATTTGGGATTCATATATCCATTTAAAATGATATATCCAGTTTAAAAATATATGTATAGGGCTGGGAATGTGGCTTAGTGGTAGAGTGCTTGCCTAGCATGTATGAAGCCCTGGGTTCAATTCCTCAATACCACATAAACAGAAAAGGCCAGAAGTGGTGCTGTGGCTCAAGTGGTAGAGAGTTCGAGCCTTGAGCAAAGAGAAGCTCAGACAGTGTCCAGGCCATGAGTTCAATCTCCAAGACTGGCAAAAGGGAAAAAAAAAAAAAACAACTGAGTGCTGGTGACTCACGCCTGTAATCCTAGCTACTCAGGAGGCTGAGATCTGGGGATCAGAGTTCAAAGCCAACCAGAGCAGGAAAGTCAGTGAGATTCTTAACTCCAATTAACCACCAGAAAACCGGAATTGGTGCTGTGGGACAAGTGGTAGCTCACCTTGAACTGAAGAGCTGAGAGACAGGTGCCCAGGCCCAGAGTACAAGCCCCATGACCGCATCTTCCTCTACCCCCCCCCAAAAAAAAAAGAAGACAGTGTATAGTGAAACAAGGCAGATGACAAGTAAAATGCACTGTACAGTCACTAGCAATCAGAGAAGTTAAATAACGAGAACAACTTGATAGATTTCCAGTAGTTCACAAAAGTGTTAAGTGCCAGTAGCTCACACCTATAATCTCCAGAGGCTGAGATCTGAGGATTGCATTTCAAAGCCAGCCCAAGCCGGGGAAATCTGTGACAGTCTTAGCTCTAATGAACTAGAAAAATGTCAGAAGTAGAAATGTAGCTTAAGTAGTACTAACCTTGAGTAGAAAAAGCTTAGGAAAAGTGTTCATGTCTTGGGTATAACTCCTAGTACCAACGCAGAGAAGAGAAAAACATGACAGCAGTGTATAGATTTTTGCAGGGAGAGAAGAGTTTGAATTACAGGTAATTGTTGGTGCAGGGGAACAAGGTTGTTGACAATAAGATTGGTAGCACCAGGCCAGCCATCTGTGCCTTGAAAGGTTTATAAGATTGGGCATATTGGCCAGTGCCTCTGTGGTATCAGAGATGGGAGGATCCGAAGTTTGACGCCAAGATGAGCTACGCACTAATCCCCTGTCTTAAAATGGATTCTGTTGTACATTGATTTTCACACAAGCTTCTCCTTTTCGTTTCTTCCTTAGGAAACTTCTTTCTAGGGAAAAACAGCCCCCCATAGATAACATCATCCGTGCTGGTTTGATCCCCAAGTTCGTGTCCTTCTTGGGCAGAACTGATTGTGGGCCCATCCAGTTTGAGTCGGCGTGGGCGCTCACTAACATTGCCTCTGGGACTTCTGAACAGACCAAAGCTGTGGTGGATGGCGGCGCCATCCCGGCCTTCATCACTCTGCTGGCGTCTCCGCATGCCCACATCAGTGAACAGGCTGTGTGGGCCCTAGGAAACATCGCAGGTACTTGCCCTTAAAATTCTTTGGACTGAGCCAGGCGCCATTGGCTCACGCCTGTAATCCTAGCGACTCAGGAGGCTGAGATCTGAGGATCGAGATTCAAAGCGAGCTTGGGAGACTCTTGAGCCTTATCTCCAATAAACTACTAGAACACCGGAAGTGGCACTGTGGCTCAAGGGCTAGCCTTGAGCTGAAGGGCTGAGGGACAGCGCCCAGGCCCAGAGTTCAAGCCCCAGACCACAAAAAAATAAAAAAATCTCTTTGGACTGAGTTTGGAGGAGGGTCATGTGAAGAGTAATAGTGACCTGTTAGGTTTGGAGTTTGCATCAGGCTCTTATTAAGAATGACAAAGACAGGACCAGGAAACTGTGGGTGCTGGTGGCTCATGCCTGTAATCCCAGCTACTCCAGAGGCTGCGATCTGGAGAATTCGTGGGTAGGATCTGAGCTAACCTGAGCAGAAAAGTCGGCATCAGAAAGCTGCAAGTGCCAGTCCTGAGTGAAAAAGCCAATGAAAGAGCAAGAGGCCGAAGTGAAGGCAAACCCAGCCCCAGGGGTTCATCAGAGTGAGGGAGGGAAATTCTGATGTGTCAGTGGTGCTAGATGAGAAGATGTGGTAAATCTGGTGTTCTTTTTGTGTAGGTGATGGGTCAGACTTCCGAGATTTGGTTATTAAGTACGGTGCGATCGACCCTCTGTTGGCTCTCCTGGCAGTTCCTGATATGTCAGCCTTAACGGTAAGTCTCTCCGGGTCAGCAGGTGGTCTGTGTTGAGCCTAATGTCTTCCATCCCTCAATTCCTATTTTGTGGTTTTCCCCCTAGTGTGGTTACTTAAGGAACGTCACCTGGACACTTTCAAACCTTTGCCGCAATAAGAATCCTGCGCCCCCGTTAGATGCGGTTGAGCAGATTCTGCCTACTTTGGCCCGACTCCTGCATTACACCGACCCCGAGGTGTTAGCTGACACCTGCTGGGCCATCTCCTACCTGACTGACGGCCCCAACGAGCGCATCGAAATGGTTGTGAAGACAGGAGTTGTGCCCCAACTTGTGAAGCTTCTAGGAGCGACTGAATTATCAATTGTGGTAGGTTTTTCACCTTTACACTACTGAGCAGAAAACAAGGATCAGATGATAATACAACTTGAAATAAGAGGCTGTGGGGGAAGCGACAGACCAGTAGCTCACGCCTGTAATCCTAGCTACTCAGGAGGCTGAGCACAAAGAGGCTTGGGGACTGACAGCACTCAGGCCCTGACTTCAAACCCCACAGGCCCCCCAAGAGATATTTTTTTTTTAGGATAAGAAGTTTTTGAGCAATGTTGGGTAATAACCAGTCATTTTTTTCCTTTTAAGACTCCTGCACTTAGAGCCATAGGAAATATTGTCACGGGAACTGATGAGCAGACGCAGGTTGTGATCGACGCAGGAGCCCTTGCCGTCATGCCCAGCCTGCTAACGAACCCCAAGACAAACATTCAGAAAGAAGCCACGTGGACAATGTCAAACATCACAGCTGGCCGGCAGGACCAGATCCAGCAAGTGGTGAATCATGGACTGGTCCCATTTCTTGTGGGTGTCCTCTCTAAGGTAATCACTGTCGGATTCCATCCAGTGACTGGTAATTATGTATGGACTAGTGGGGCTTGAGAACATCCTTTATTTATTGCCTACTGCTTAAAATCCTCAGCTAATTCGCCACTCTTAGAATCCTAGCAACTCAGGCAGCTGAAAATCTGACGATTGCATTTCAAAACCAGCCTAATGCAGAAAAGTCCATGAGATTCTATCTCCAATGAACTACCAGAAACTGGAAGTAGAGCTGTGGCTCAAGTGGGAAGGCGCTAGCCTTGAACAAAAAGTTCAGGCACTGAGTTCAAGTCCCAGGACCAGCACACACACACACACACACAAAATCTTATTGCTAAGTAGTAGGCAATAAATAATAACTATTTCACTTAAGGTTCTCTAGCCAAGTTGGTAGTTTCTGTCACTAGTTTTGCAAAATGGGACCTGTGGGATTTTACTATTATGCCTTCTGAATTAGAACTATTTATCTTTATCAGGCTGACTTTAAGACACAAAAGGAGGCGGTATGGGCAGTAACCAACTACACCAGTGGTGGATCTGTGGAACAGATTGTCTACCTTGTTCACTGTGGCATAATAGAACCATTGATGAGCCTCTTGAACTCGAAAGATACCAAAATTATCCTGGTCATTCTAGACGCCATTACAAATATCTTCCAGGTAAGTTCTAATGTGGTTGGTATTTGTTTGAATTAGGGCCCGATAATCAGTTTCCTGTTTAAACGGGCAGGGGTGGGGAGTAGGGGCAGATAAATGTACTCGGTAAAAATAGGCCTTAGAATTATTCTGTTGATTCATTTTTTTGCTGGTCATGAGGCCTGAACTCTGGGCCTGGGCGCTGTCCCTCAGCTCTTCAGCTCAAGGCTAGCGCTCTACCACTGGAGCCACAGCGCCACTTCCAGCTTTTTCTGCTTATGTGGTGCTGAGGAATCGAACCCAGGGCCTCATGCTTGCAAGGCATGCACTCTACCGCTGAGCTACCTTCCCAGCCCTCATTTTTGTTTTTGACACCAGTTCTCACATTATGTTGTCTAAGCTTGCCTCAAACCTATGGATAAACTCAAGCTGTCTTGCTGGCTCAGCCTCTTGGTAGCTAGGATTACATATACACCATAACACTTGTCCAGACTACATTGCTTCTAGTACTAAGACTTCAACTTCAGCCAAATGCCAGTGGCTCACCCCAGTAATCCTAGCTTCTCAGGAAGCTGAGCTCTGAGGATCTCAGTTTGAAACCAAACCCAGGCAGGAAACTCCAGGAGACTCACCTCCAATGAACCAGCAAAAAGCTAGAAGTGGAGCTGTTGGTCAAGTGGTCAAGCACAATCCCTGAGCCAAAAAAGCTAAAGGATAATGCTAAGATGCTGAGTTCCAGCTCGTGCTGGCACATACACAGACACAAAAGAAGTAGGTGCTAAGAGGCCACATAAGGAAAATGGACATAAAACTTCTATCATGTAAGCCAGGCGCCAGTGGCTCACACCTGTAATCTTAGCCACTCAGGAAGCTGAGATCTGAGGATTGCAGTTCAAAGCCAGCCCAGGCAGGAAAGTCCTGGAGACTCTTGTTTCCAATAAACCACTTAAAAAACCGGAAGTGGTGCTTTGGCTCAAGTGGTACAGCACTTCCCTTGTGCTGAAGAGCTGAGGGACAGCACCCCAGCCTAGAGTTCAAGCCCCTCGACCAACCAAGAAACACCCCAGAACTTGTATCATGTAATTGTTGATGAAACTAGTGTCCCTGATAGATATAGGTATAGATATAGACATTATTCAGCTGGAGTGGTTTTCCCACTTAAATAGCACACCCAATGGAAGCTAGTAAATGTCTATTTTGTTCAGGCTGCTGAGAAGCTAGGAGAAACAGAGAAACTTAGCATAATGATTGAAGAGTGTGGTGGTTTGGACAGAATTGAAGCACTTCAGAACCATGAGAACGAGAGTGTATACAAGGCCTCCCTGAAGCTGATTGAGAAGTACTTCTCCGTGGAGGTGAGTCATGTTACGTCACGTCCTGCAGTGTTGACTAGAACAAGTCAGAAAAGCAACACTGGTGGGCCTTGGAGGTTTTCTCCCTTCTCCCAAGCACAGGTGAATCAGCCATGCTTGATAGCCCCTCTCCCTTCCCTACTCAGAGTATTAGACTGTATGGTGCCAGGTTAAAGGTGGGGTATGTGAGCGAAGACCTTAAGAAGTGATGTGGGTTGTTAGGTAGGTTTTTGCTGAGAAATGTGCCATATTTCTGAGGTTTTTTTTTTTTTCTTCCATATCTAGGAAGAAGAAGATCAAAATGTTGTGCCAGAAAGTACCTCTGAAAGCTATTCTTTCCAAGTTCAAGATGGTACTCCAGGGACCTTTAACTTCTAGATTTGTGCAGCTTCGGCATAAAGATGTTCCTTGTGTACCGTTTGGTATATGTTTGTCTTACTGTTTTCTCTCTAAGAACTCTTTTTTTTAAATGTGGTTATTGTAGCACTTTTTACAACAAAACTATACTTGAACAGTTCCAAACTGTACATACTGTATGAAGCCTGTCTGTGGAATTTCATATCTTACATTGTCCTGTAAATAAAGATTAAGTTCCACCCTTTTCTCTGTTCACCCTCACCCATGTTTGCCGTCTAGCCTAGGCTCTTCAAGCCTAGGCTCTTCATGATACCAGTGACATCACTGGGGGGTCATCAAGGATCCAGGGGTGCTAACCTGTTCCTGCCCAGTTCTGAGAGTCCTGTCAGTGGGCTGGGCTACTTTTCCTGGGTAAGAATTGCAGTGGGGGCTGGGCACCAGTGGCTCCCACCTGTCATCCTAGCTACTCTGGAGGCTGAGATCTGAGAATTGCAGTTCAAAGCCAACTCAGGCATCAAAGTCCCTGAGATTTCTCTCCAACTAACAACCATAAAGCCAGAAATGGAGATACGGTTCATACTGCCACACACACACAAAATAACAAAACCTTTAAGTGATTTATGACCTTTAAGTACTCCAGTGTTCTGAGAACCAATAGTGGATGCCCCACATCTCCAGTTACCTTCTGGCTAGAAATGTGAGGATATTCTTCATTAAGGTGCATGTCAATATAGTTTCCTCCTTGAAGATAGCAGTTAGTTTTCTATTCCATGGAACTGTTTTGTTTTTTTGTCACACCTGGGGCTGGAACTCAGGGCCTCGTGATTCCTTTAGAAGTAATGAACAGGAGATAGCTAATATCCAAAAATACATTTCCTCATACTTTAGCTACAATTCTGAACATGCTAGTTTCCTCGGCATTAGGAATCCATAGAGACAATTGGATTTTTATTTAGCCTACCTGTAGGCCACCTTTTCTGTTTTGGTTTTTTTTTATTGGTCGTGGGGCTTGAACTGGGCTTGGGCCCTGTCCCTTATCTCTTCAGCTCAAGGCTAGCATTCTACCACTTGAGCCACTTCAGGTTTTCTGGTGGTTATTTGGAGAGGAGTCTCAGGGATGTTCCTGCCTGGCTGGCTTTGAACCGCAATCCTCAGATCTCGGCCTCCTGAGTAGCTAGGTGTGAGCCACCAGCACCTAGCTGGAGAATGACTTTATAAAAACTTGACAAAAACTCTATGGTCACCAGTTTTTACCAAGTATATCTGAATTGGTAGTACTTTTTTGCTGCACCAAATCTTTATTTTCTAGTAGTCCCAAATCTCATTTAATGAATTATACATCTGCTTATATCTGTTTTTGTCTGTGTGTGCTCCCTGTTTGGGGGTTTGAACTCATGGTCTCTGAGCTTTTGTACCAGCTTTGAGCAAAAGAAGCCCAGGGAGCTGGGCGCTAGTGTCTCATACCTGTAATCCTAGCTACTCAGGAGACTAAGATCTGAGGATGGTGGTTCAAAGCCAGCCCCAGCAGGAAGGACTGAGACACTTTATCTTCCCAAAACCACCAGAAAACCAGAGCTGAGGCGGGGGGTGGGGTGGGGGGAGTTGTTGCTCAGAGAACTAGAACTAGAGCACTAGCCTTGAGCAAAAGAGCTCAGGGACAAAACCCAGGCCCTAAATTCAAGCTCCAAGACTACCACCTCTACCAACAAACAAAAGCTCAGGGGTGCACCCATGCATGCCCTCTGAGTTCAAGCTCCACAACAACCAAAAAAGAGCATTGGTATTTGGTACAGCTCCAGACCCTGGAAAACAGCTAAATAACTAAGGCACAAAGAACCTGGAGGAATGGCTTTCCCTAGCAGCATAAACCCAGGACCTAAGAAACAACAAAAGAAAATAGATTCACTGTAGGAAATTGCCACATTGTATCTTTGCCTTAGTATTCCAACTGTTTTGCCAGGCACTTTTGTTTACCCTGTCAACATTCAACATTTTCCCACCTGAATCAACATTTGAAAGGGCTGAAAAATTGATTGAAGGGGCGTGGTGCTTGTTAATGTAACCCCTGCCCAGCAGTGTGCTAACAGCTCTAATGATTGAGCCAGGTATCCATTTTGGGCTTTTTGGTGGTTAGAGATAAGGGTTCAGGCACATTACTGCCTTGGCTGGCTTTGAACCTTGATCCTCATATCTCAGTAGCTAGGATTCTTTTGTTTTCTTACCTTTTTTTTTTTTTTTTTGCCAGTCCTGGTCTTGAACTTGGGGCCTGGGAACTGTCCCTGAGCTGCTTTTGCTCAAGACTAGCACTCTACCACTTGAGCCACAGTGCCACTTCCAGTTTTCTGGTGGTTAATTGGAGATAAGATTCTCTTGGACTTTCCTGCCCCAGCTGGCTTTGAACTGCAATCCTCAGATCTCAGCCTCCTGACTAGCTAGGATTACAGGCAGGCGGGAGCCATTGGCACCTGGCTTTTTGGTCTATTTTTTTTTAAGTGTCCTGTTCTTTACCCTCTCAGCAAGAGCAGTTAAGACAGATTCTTGGGTTTGTTTGTATGGGCAGCTGGCAACTGAGAGAAACAGGACTCAAGTTCAGAAGGCCATCATTCAGAGAAGCTAGCTGGCAACTTCCCTCCCTCCGCCCTGCAGAAGCATGCCAAAACCCAGCTGGTTGATTTTGCAAAGCCCTGGAAGCATGTCATTAGTAGTGCTTGCTTTTGAACTTGGGCTGTTGACCTAATTTGTGCTAAACACAATGTGACCAGATCATGTAGAGCCGCTCATAGCCCCTTACCAAAAGGTGGTAGTAACACCCTCGATTTACGTTTCATAACCTCAGCTCATAGAGATGTTTTAAAACTAAACAAACATCCCAGCTATCAAGGGGGGGGGAGGATAGAAAGGCAATTGAGTTTTGAGCCTTTCTATGCTCGGTGGCATGTTGTTGGCATAGATTGAAAGCATAATTCAGTGTCTCTAAACGCCCAGTTCCTCTTACATGTCTGGAACAGTTTCGTAACAGCCGTAGGAGCTGTAAGCACCCAACCCTGAATCCATTAGGCCATGTTTTCCTCCCATGCATACAAGGCCATAAATTGTTCCTTCCTGTCCAAGTGTATTAGGACCCATGTCTGCCTGAGTTCAAGTTCTGCCACTTCAGTAGGTCAGTCAATGACCCTGGAGTAGTTAAAGCTTACAAAATACATAGTATGCATTTCCACTTAAATACAGCAGCTGTTCCCAAATTTTCACCAGGAAACATTTCCTTTAGCTCCTCCATAGACTTTGTGTGTGTGTGTGTGTGTGTGTGTGTGTGTGTGTGTTTGCACGTGTGCACATGCACACAGGCACATGCACACAGTCCTATACTGAAGTTTGAACTCGGGGCCTGGGTGCTGTCACTTAGCTTTTTTACTAGTACTCTACCACTTCCTTTTGGCTCTTTGCTGGTTAATTGGAAATAAGAAACTTATAGACTGTTCTGTCTGGGTTAGTTTTGAACCTCGATCTTCAGATCTCAGCCTCCTGAGATAGTAGGATTACAGGCATGAGCCACCAATGCCTGACTTTTTGGACACATTTTATTTTATTTTATTTTATTTTTTGTCGGTCGTGGGGCTTGAACTCTGGGCCTGGGCACTGTCCTTCAGCTCTTCAGCTCAAGGCGAGCGCTCTACCACTTGAGCTACAGCGCCACTTCCGGTTTTCTGGTGGTTTATTGGAGATAGGAGTCTCAAGGTCTCTCCTGCCTGAGCTGGCTTTGAACCACGATCCTCAGATCTCAGCCTCCTGAGTAGCTAGGATTACAGGCGTGAGCCACCAGTGCCCGGCTGGACACATTTTATAGCAGCCTGGTTACATGTGACACAAGACCATGCAGGTAAGTATAATAAGATGTTAAAGATGCTGCATTTGCCTATAATCTCTCCACCTTCCAGCGGCCCCCAAACCACACAGCACTCCTTCCTGTATGGTGAGCTCTTTGAAGTTGCCAGCTTGAGCTGCTGCTTTCAGGTTCTGAACGGGATCTCAAGAAGGGCTGGGGAAACCATTTCAACCTAGCCAGTTGGGCTTCCTGGAAGCCCTGGAATCAGTCACCATTGCCTAGACCTTCGCCATGAGCTTAGAGACCTACAGGCCAGGTCTCAAAGGTGGAAGGTCATGGTTTGAAATAGCAGGGATAAACAATGTACCAGCGTTTAACTCTTTTGAGAGCTCAGGATTCTCTTCCTGATTCCACCTACTATGATCCTCTCTTCCAATTCTATTGGGTAGAATAATTGGAGCATCTAACTCCTGATTGGCTAAGAGCTGCCCCTTGAGCTATTCAAGTCCAACTCAAAGAGGGTTTGCTTGTGTGCAAGCTGATGGAACTCTGGTAGACGTTTTTTTTTTCTTTTTCTTTCTGGCAGTTCCCTCTGCCACAGGTTGCCAACCGCTGTCATCCAGCAGCCCCAAAAGCGGCCTAAAGCAACGAGTCCCCTGATTACAAGCCAACACAAACTTTTTTTTTTTTCTGTTGATCATTTAACTGTCTCAGGTATTTGCTTATAGTGACGGAATGCTGACCAACACAGACATTCTTTCCAAAAGCGTGATGAAATAACACTGGATTCTGAAGTGACTTTGTCCCTGGGGAGAGGAGATGAGGGAAAGGGATCTGGAATTTTCTGCTCCTCTGCAGGCCCCAGTGGCTGGGTAGAACAATGGTGTCTGATTCCTCATTCTCCTACTGACAGCTGGGGCTCAGAGGGGCAGTCCACATTCCCTGAGGTCTAAGGCTTCAGGAAGAATGGCTCATAAGTGTGGTTAGAAGGTACAGAGCTGGCCCAACCTTCACCAACACATCTGTCATTCTCTTTAGTCATTGGCCCTTCTCTAGTCTCTGGAAGTTGCAATTGCTCTTTTTCTCTGGTAATTTTACTTCACTAACCTTATTGGCTCTTCTCATAGGGGGGGTACCTGGGGAATTTGCTAACTATGGTCACAGGCTAGCTGGCTCCCAGCACTGGCCACTGGAGTCTAGGTAACTAACTCCTGTGACCTCTAATACTCCAACAGTGATTTGCTTGGGAGCTGCAGACCTGGCTTGCTGGGACTCTCATACTACGAGATTTAAATGATCTAGAAAAAAAAATCTTAATTCTTTCTTTGTCTTTGACCCTGCTTCTCTATGTGTCTCTGTCTCTGTTTTTCTCTCTCTGTCTGTCTCCACACACACATACACACACATTTACACACACACAGAG